ATATATATATATATATATAATGTTTTAAAATTAAATAATTATTTATCTATTCAAATTAACGTATATTATAATTTTCGATATTATATCAATAATATTATTAATATATTTATAGATAAACTAATAATTTGATAAATATAACTTGTTATATATTAATATACTTTTACAAAAATATAAGTATATTAATTAGAAATATATATCTGATCTTATATATTTATATTTTTGTAAAAGTATATTAATATATATTAAGTTATATTTTTCAAATTATTAGTTTATCTATAAATATAGTAAAAATATTATTGATATTAATTTATCAATAATATTAAAATACTAATAATATATAAATTTTATTTATTTAGTAATAATAAATATATATCATTTGATACATTAACAAAAATTATAATATACATTAATATAAATAAGCAAACAATTATATAATTTTAAAATATTATATATTAAAATTTTAAAATTATTAAATTTTTAATGAAAAAGACTAAAATTGCACAATTATGATATTTGAGGGACTAAAATTGCACAACTGTAATCTTTTAAGGACTAAAATTACTCAATTAAAACCTTAGGGATCAAAATTACACAATTATAATACTTAAGGGATCAAAAATACAATTAAGCCAAATATTAAAAATAAAAATTCAATGTTAATTTTGAACTTTTATTTAACGTTAATTTTGTTGAAATAATAATAAAAATGCAAGATAATCAATAACTTAAAATACATCAATCTCACAAGTAAGTTAAAGTCTCATCACAAAGCTACAATAATTCAATCTCATAATTCCAAATGAAAGTAAACAACTTAAAATACATAAATCTTATTGGTTCAATCAAAGCTAGAAAATTAATCAAATTACATCTAATATAATTCTATAACATGTTTAACACATGTCGGTAACTTCATCAACCTCACTTTTGTAAGAAAATAAGATGAGAGAGTGTAGTTTTAGGATTATGTGGTACAAGGATAATTAGGATATTTAAGAAGTAATATTAAACGGGTACCCGCGGGTATGGATATTATCATATCCGCCCCCGCCCCATTTATAAATGGGTAAAAAATTATCCGTCCTCATTATCCACTATCCATTTATTATCTGTAGCAGGTTTTATCCACGGATACCTGCGGGTGCGGGTATTTTTGCCATTCCTAACCGTGGCAACGATTGCTTCTTTCTATCTTGTTACGTACACACTTCACTGCTCACTTTCTATTAATCTGTGTGAACATTCAGTTGGGTTTTGAATGATTGGCAGGAACTACTCACCATTGGGGTCGTCAAGCACTTTCGTTGCGAAACCTGACAACCTCAATTTCTCAAACTCTGTTCTTCCTTCTCAATGTGGTAGGTACTTCATAGTGAGATTTAAAATTAATTTTGAGAAGAAAAAAAATTCTTTGAACAGAAATTTTATACTCGAGTTTTTTTTTACCAACATGAATATATTTTTTTTATTAACAAACTATTTTACTTTATATGTACCAAAAAAAAAAACTATTTTACTTTATAAAAATTAACAGCAAATATTTTTATTAGTATGTCTAGAACTAAAGTTTTATTAGCCTTGTCTTGAACCGGTTTTGAACATAATATTTTTCCCTTTTTCTTTTTAATTTTCTGTTTTGAAGAATGTTATTAGAGTTGGCTCAGTATTGAATGACAAAATAGCAGCTTATCAGGTTTTATCAATTCGTGTTCAAACTTCAAATACATTATGTTATTCAAATTTCAGCTCAAGAAACAATAAACTTCACCACGGTACCAAAGTTTCTTAACCTTCGGCCAAATTACCTTGATATTGTGATAAGCAACTAATTCAGTTCCCGAAGTCGAACAAAGTAAGGTTATATACATCAACGATAATAAAAATGGAACCTAAATCCTAATACATTTGTCCCAACTCCAAACCAGTATTATTCGTTTATACCAAGTAAGGTTATATAAGCACCACGAACACGAAACTCTCCTCCCCAGCTGATGATCCCTCATAGCAGAGCGAACACATTACACATCGTTATTTTGATTATGCCACAACAATAAATGGTGTAACAAAAATGTACTTGTGTGTATATACAAGAACAAAGAAGAGACTATATTGATGTAAAAGAATAAAACAAATGACTTTATTCTCATTCTCATCCTGTACAATCCCAATCACAGTATATGATGTAATTTTTCCTTCCTAGTCTAGGTCTCAACTCGTAAACTAAAATGGGCTTGTGGAATCTACAACAACAGAACGTGTTAGGTATTGTCGTAGTACATGGCAGGCGACAAGTTATGCACAGCCTCGAGATACATGAGAATTGAGTCAAGCCCCGCAGTACATGGAATGGAAGGATTAATAATGTAATGGATAATGATAGTTACACAAATAACTTCTCTTGCAAATCTCATGCATTTCAGTGGGGAATGAGTTGTTGAGTAGATTGAGATTATCAAGAAGTTTCGTCACATACTTACAACTATCATTGTCCCTGATTTAAATGTCCTCATCACCTTGAAATGTCCTGACAAAACCAAGCCACAGATATCATGGAATGCCAAACCTGATAGTGAGATAAGTGCTATAGGGTTCTAACAGCAGTCTGGTTTGTACATATACAAGAGCATTCCTCTTCCTTTCCAAACAGCCTTTTCTCACGATTAATCATCAATTTAATCAAGGGTACTTTTTTTGAAACTTGGCGCCAAATCTCATTAACTGTCCCGTTGGCTTCTTCATACTCAAAATATCGCTTAACCTGAAACCAGATAAACTAAATTAAGGTCTGTCGTAATATGAGGGGGAAAAATCAAAATAGAAGGCAAGCCAGAATGCTCTTCTTTTCCACTATAATTTTCAAATACAAATCAGACAATGTAAAACATACATTGGAACTACTTTCTTGGACATCTATAATTTCTACTTGAGCAGCTATAAGAAAGCACCAACGTACTCAACAAGTACATCAGAATAAAAGGATTCAAGGGTGTCATTAATAATATATTGAGCGAGAAGCAATTAGAATCTACTGCACTAATTGCTAATTCAAATAAACTATTCAGGATCTTCTTTAAGAAATCATGAAAATACCAATCACCAGAATTTCACTTCACTTCACTTGGCATAAACATGTATTTATGTTATGCATTTATTCGAGGACTCTTGAAGTTCAAAGGAGGGTGTGGAAACAGGATTCTTGATTTTACATAAACGAGACACTCCAATCAAACTTCACATATTAAAAGTACAAGTACCATAACAAGAAAAGGTAGGTCCTAAAATATTGGAATTTTTTAATTAGGTCTCCAAATTAATATATATATATATATATATATATATATATAATTGGGTCCTTTAGTCCTTAATCTTATAAAAACAATTATAATTGGGTTCCTAGGATTTTTAGAATTTCCATAAATTGTCATTTTCCAGCAGTTGTAATCTGCCAAAAACTAACTACAGGGACCTACTTTTTAAATTTAGGGACCCAATTACAATTTTTTTTAATTTGGAAACCTAATTAAAAATTCTTAGGGACCTACAAATTAACTTATCCACCAGGAAACAAAGTCAATGAGCAATTAGCACACTCTTAATAATGAAAATTAATAATTAATTACTTCAGTTAAAAGACCACAACGAAGGAACCTGTCTTCCCACCAATATAACGTTGCATATGAATAAAAAATAAAACTTGAAGAACGAGGGAGAAAAAGGAAGGAATACAATTGGCTATAATTAGCAATGTCAATCTATGACCAAATATCATTGGATGTATTGAATCTATCATACGTCGCAAGAGATTAAAAAATGCAACAGGTGGAGTGAAAGACAAAATTAGTAGTAGCATCCACAGATTTTATTGAAAAAATAAATTATGCCAGCACTACTAACCTCCTTTAGTTCTTTCTGATATCCCAAGACTCCATCTGGGGTTATGGCTCTCAATTTTGACACCAAATATCCTGGCTTTATGGCAGAAGTAGTTTCTACAAATACAGCAATCTTTTTGTAGTCTATAGTATCTTCAAAAGGCAATTCAATACCATCACTGATAATCACTGGAATGCACAAGCTAACTATAGCATCAAACAGTCGGCAGGCTGATGGAGTATCTCCTGCAGGATGTAAACAGAACTTTGATGTATGCATTCCTTGTGAAGCTGCCCGCCGACTCTCTCTGGATTGTGCTCCATGCTTTATTATGACATCCTCTTCCTTTTCTAGAATTTGAAAGAG